ATCAAAGGTAGTGATATCTCAAGCCAAATTATATACAGAAAAAATTCCATTCTCACCTACACATAATACTAGGAGGATGAAAAATTGAAGCAAACAGAGCCGACGTCAATGCTATTACTCATCCTTATTTGTCGACTCGTGTTTTTTCTTTTGTCCAACTTCAACAAGTAATGTCAAAAGTGCCTCACACACCTGAGATGCATCTGCTTCGGAAGCGTCGTCATAGAGAGACGAATAAACCATCCAGGCATGATCTAGCTTGCGTTTTGGACGCACCACGGTGGATCCTGGGACTTCAGCATCACGGCAAGTTACAAGTCCATCACTCTTCTCGCGGTAGCGCATCTGCAGCAGCTGTGCGCAGGCTGCCATTGCAGCTCCCAGCGGTACCACTACAGGGAGTTTTGCAGCTTCAGCAGTAGAGAGTGGGGCTGGTAGTTCTGCATGAGCAACACGGGACAAGGTGGCCAAAACAGCAGGTGAAATGCTGGCTTCTGTGTGGAATGATACCACAGGGAGTTCTTCTGGCAACTGGTGCTGCATTAGAAATTTCTTCCTCCTATCATACGTTAAATCTTCGAGAGCTTGCATGTCGCCCTGCATAGAAAGCAAACAAATCATCGGACTTTTCTTCTGGTTCAAATTTCAAGCGGATCAAGTGCCGTTTTTGGAATCTAAGCTATACAAATCATCGTTAAAAACATAGATAAAAGAGGTCCCTGCCCTCTATTGCTGTCTGAAATTTCTTTATATTACTAGTCATGCTAGCAAACAGAAACGAGAAGCTACTGAAAAAAAAAACGAGAGACCAATTTGATAGCATATAAAGCCCATGACACACAGACAAACAAATAGCTAGCATATGCATGACCTGACAGGGAGGAAGTTTTTTTAAAAACATCAACTTGTAAGGTAAGTTGTAACTTCAACTCACAATAAATATAGGAAAGAATCTTGAAAAACAATTTACCTATGCATACCTTCATCACTTTACAAATCAAAATCTCCATAAGCTTCCGTACGTTCACATAGTCACCAAGCTGTCCTTCCCGCAAGATATCAGAGGCTATTGGACTACCGCCATATGGACTTTGAGCTAATGCCAAGCCGGCAACTTTTTCTCTCAAATCAGACCAATACAACGATAAGGCAGCTGCTGCATCTACTCCCCCTTTGCTGTGCCCAAGAATTAATACACGTTTTCCAGAACCCCAATATATTTCTTCAACATAGTCTTTGATCTCTCTTGCATTCCTCTCTACTGAAGCCTGATTATAGATTTTTCATTGTTTAGCATGATCGGAAGAGAAAATACAGAAAGGTTAGAACTTTGAAGCAAATCAAAATACCTCACTATGAATCTTGGCAATATGACAGGTCAGACCCATCTTTGAGAATTTCGTTTTTGTATCAACAAAATACAGTGGTCCATGGTTGCTGAAAAGCCCTACCAGTTACATGAATTAAAGCCGCAGAACCAGGTAAGTATGTTTCCAAGCAAACCACTAAAGCATCAAAAGCAAAATAAATGTTTAAAAAAGTGTTCCCTTACTGCATATTAAAATTGAATTACAACAAAGAAACCTGGGATTTAAAACTAGATCTGGCAAGTCCAATCAAAATTCAATTTTGACACTTCTATAATTAAACTTTGTTCCAGAACCTCAAACTTTTAAAGATTCAATCTTCCCACTTTTAATTCAACGTCATGAACAGTTCAAGTTTCGTGTTTCGTGTTTCTGAATCTAGGATTTGGTCACCTTGCCTTGATGACCAAAGGGAGGTATGAGATATAGTTCCTCATATGATAACATGACTACAAGTCGACAGATACTGTATTTGATCACTTAAAAAGAATCGAAGTTCATAACAGCTTTATTGCCTGTATATTTTCATTAACATAAGATTGCAACTTAGTTTGGCCAAATGATCGACAGATGCCCAATTCACATGCATTGTCAAATATTAACTAACAAAATTTACCTGGAACCAGCAAGTAAACCACTGAATTTGGTACTTTGTGAATACCATGCCTGACAGAAAGAAAAGTGAGGCCTCAATGTAAATTTATGCCAGATAACTAGTACAAAAGCAGCAGCAGCAGCAGCTATCACTCATAGTACCTGATATCTTCCAAAATTTCCATAAACCTATCAGTTCCATCTTCAACCGAAGGCATTCCAGATGCACTTTGAAGCCACCCTATATCATCTGCAGATCCGCGTACTGTCCTCAAAGCTCGATCAATAAGGCTGAATAAGATTGAGCATTACAAATGAAACAAACAAAACAAAGGAATTAAGTTATACGTATCAAACTAGACAAAAACTAGTCCACCCCTAAAATCCTCAATTGGTACATTTATTTCCGCTTAAATCGAAACAATACCCTTGAAAAATTGACATGCCACTCCGACCAGTGTTATTTGACAACTGGAGACCACCACTATGGCCAGATGGTTCTTCAATTCTGGACCTTGAAACTTCATTATATACAGGGGGAGCCGCAATTGCAGCTACAGCTGATTCAGAAATTATTGATTGTGTAGCACTAGAGATTTGATTTCCATTAGTTCTGGCTGTCGTTACTGCAGACTCTCTGGAAGAAAACGTCACTAATTCCTCTTCATGTAATGCAGAACTCCTAGGGTCTCTAAGCCCAGGGTCAACTGAGACCAAATCACCATAAAACTGTCACCAAATTAGTAACACACAAGAAAAATACTAATAAAGACAAATAAATCCAAGTAGCGAGAATGGATGGAAATGTAAACCAGTGGTTAATAAAAAAGTAAGACATAATATCATTCGCACTTCTAGACCCAGGCTTGGTTAAATTGAAAACATTATAATAAACAATGATAGAAAAGTAACGAGTAAAAGAAACTAGAAAAATATCCATGGAAGTAAACAAAAACAAAGAAAAGAATGAACCAGGCATGGAGAATTATTTTTAATAATAAAATAATTTTTAAAAAACAAAAAAAAGACACATGTACAACCAGGTTGTAGAAGGTTCTAAGAGGCAACAGAACAACCAACAACCAAATGAACAAAATTTGAAAAGGTTGTAAAAGTTTCAAACTAATGGAGTAATTTGTCATAGAAGACACGTGCAGAAGTAGGTAAATTCAAGAACGACATAAGATGAAGGTTGTTGAAGAGATGAAAACAATAAGAGAAACACAAAAGAAACGGAAAGATAAATACCAGAAGAATCAGAAAAACAGCCAGTAAAGTATGAAGTTGTTTGTGCCACATAAGAAGCAGCCTCGTTGAGAACCGATACAGAAGTAAATAGCTGAGGAATAAGGCCCTCAATCAGACTATCATTCTCTTCCTGAGAAAGAGAAATTGTTCAGAGGCTATATATATGAAAAAAAACAGTGAACCATGCAGGTAGTAAGTTCCAATAGCAGATAACACATCAGCCACCAAAAACTTAGTATCAGGTAACACAAAGAAAGACCGTATCCTACCATCAGCCAAAGAGAAGGATAAGCTTTTTATCATGTTTAAATACAAACAGTCATACGCACAAAACAAGCATTTCCTGCTTTACATTCGTACTTGTGGCACACAATTTTACGAAGGAAAAAACAAATACACCATCAGTAGAAGTAAAATATTTCACAAAGGAGTAAAAAAGATGCCAACAATGACTGAATTTCTCTTAAGACCTCTTGAAGAGGCATTATATGTTATTTAAACCACTTATGATGTTTCATAAATGAGAAGATAAGTTAATTTTTCAATGATTAATTTCTTGTGACGTTGATTTCGAGAAGGAATAATGATGCCAATGGTCTAAGGTAGATTTCCAAGTAACTAACTCATCCATCGATATAAATTCCACATTTCTTCATAGTTATCTTCATGTTTGGCCCCTGCTTTTAAGTTGTATAATTTTTTACGGGAAACCAACTTCCATCAAGAACGACGAAATAATCTTCTTCTTCCAGATTTCTGATTTCGATTATCTTCTCCCTGCAAGAGTCTCTGGTTATAAACCTTTCAAGACAGGCAGAAATAAAAATAAGAGCCTCTTGTTTTATAAGTTTCCAAAATGGTTCTAGCTTAATGAATGACATAATGTACAGGAAGCTTCGAATTGCAGTTTCCCATGATGATTGCTGCAATTTATATGGAACTTAACGCATTGTTTATGTATTGTCACAAAGTTTCTGTAGGAGCCTACTCGCAAATAGATACACTAGCAATGTAGTTCCAGTAAGTGAAACATTTCATAACATCGTTTGCTTCTTAACTTCGAAGTTTCAAACGCTCGAAAACTTCTAAATGAATTTAGAAATGCGAAGATTATAAACAATCCTAAATCTATCAACACTAAACTGCCATATCAATTGATAATTTCAAAACGGCAAAAATAAATACAGTAAGCTCCTATAAACTAAACGATCTGGTGCAGCTGACAGTATTTATGAGTTCACAAAATCTTAAACTTCTCGGGGGGATTAAAACCATAAAGATGGCGTAAATAGGAGGAAGCAAGAAAACCAGGACGATTCACGTAACGCATAACTTACCGCAGATGGATTGTCTGATTCCCCTCGTTTCGTATTCCCGCATTCCCTCATCCTTGAAAAGTGCGCCTTCGTGGTTGATTTGGGCTGAAGAAGTAAGACGGATGTAGAAATCCAAATAAGCTTTGCGAACAAACGAATTGAAATCCAGTGACGCAATGGAAAATCACGAATGGGGGTTGGATCGAGATTCGAGACTGCCGCGAGGCAAATGATTTACGCGGGAGGTAAGTCGTGTATTGGAGGGGCCTCCGCTGCTCTAAAAGATTTGGAGTCTGGAGAAGGAGAAATTATGAAGTGAAAATTGTAGGAAAAAGTAATATATTACATTTGAAATTGATTGGTTAATGGTCCTTTCGACATCTGTCCTCATTTGTTGGCGACTTTGTACTGTTTTTCCCTAAATTTTCAAATTAATATATATAAAGTGAATTAAAATTTGCACTTAGCTTCATCATTCACGATCCAACATAGTTTTCAAATTCAGAATGAACGTTTTTTAATCCAAAGCTAAACGCGTTTTCAGTTGCAGTAAAGTTAAAAAGAAGCGCATTTTGTTTTCCGTGGGTTTCTCCAGATCACAAAGCATCCGGCGCGGCGGGGGGCTACACAGCCATCAGAGGCTACGAATGAGAATGCCTTCGAAGGTAATGCCCGGTCCAAATGCCAACGCCAGTCCCCATTCTTCCCCGTCCTCCCTCTTCAGCTTCTCCCTCATCTTCTCAATCACATAGAAGATGGTGTTGCTGCTAACATTCCCATACTCCATCAATGCCTTTCTGCTGCATTCCAGCTTCTCGCTTTTCAACCTCAGAGTTCTCTCTAGTTTATTCAGAATTGCTGGGCCACCAGGATGGACTGCCCAGAACAACTCGTTAAAATCCACCAGTTTTCCCTTTCCCATCAGCTTTCTGCAGAAGCCCTCTATGTTGTCGTCTATTCTCTGGGGAAGGTCTCTGCCAAGTTTGAAATTTATACCCTCCTCAGAAAGCCTGCCGTCGATCACATAGTGGGTGTCTGGCAAGAATTGCTGGATGGCATAGTTCAGCTCCATGAAAGGAGACTCTTGCCCCGCCACAGGGTCTGCTCCAATGATCACAGCTGCAGCTCCATCTCCAAAAAGTGCCGCCCCAACGAGGTCATATGGGCGTGCATTGTTTGGGGGACGAAATCCGAGTATTGTAGTCTCAGACGTCGTCAACAAAATGCGACTTCCTGGGTTGTTTTCTGCTAGGTCTTTGGCAACCCTGAGGCCAGTGACACCACCATAACAGCCTAGAAAATACAGCATCACCCGACCAACATCGTTCTTCAAACCAAGCCGACTGGCAATGTAAAGATCCCCACCGGGCAAGCGGATTTCACTAGAAGAAACATAGACAATGTGGGTGATATCTTCAACAGGCCTCCCCCATTCCTTAATGCAGGCTTTGCTAGCTTCAGTGGCCATCTCAACAACTGCAGGGTTAGCAATTTCCAACCTCTGTCGAATGGTGGGTGAGCCCTCTGTTACGAGCTCGGGATACTTATCCAAGATCTCTTTGCACATGACAGTGTATCTCGTCTTCACAGTGGTCGTTTTGCCTGGGATGAGAATAAAGAGAGCTTAGCTGCATGCTTACGAAAATGATATTTGAAAAGCGGTTAAAGAGAATGCTTTTATCAATATATTCAATGCAACATGTTTACATAAACGCTCCAATTTTTCCTTCACAGTTGCATCGACGCATTTTGTATCACGAATGTAGCCCTCCACCAAGCATTCTTGAGGAACAAGTTGGCTAGGAAATGCCTTGCCTATTGCAAGGATGGCTGCCTTCCCAGGCGTTGGAGCGCGCCTTGCCCGTTCATGATGGAGCATAGCTGACCCCTCACAACTCGTTTTTGACATACTTGGGAGCTTAAACAAGAAGAGTATAGGGTGTGTGTAAAGACCTGAATGAATCAAATCAGAGAGTTGGGAGAACTTAAATGGGGCATTGCCCACTTTTTCTTGGAGAGAAGTTGGTGAGATGAACCATAAAACCAAATCCCAACTTACCATCCACACCCAATATGCATGACATCTAGCCCCCCACCCACACACACACTCCCAAGAACCGCAAACTCAGCCTCAAGAGAAACTTTCAATTGTTTGATGGACTCCCACCTCCACCGATTCATCCAGCCATTTTCATAACTGTCTTACCCCATCACTAATAGATATTATTCATTTTGACCCATTACGTATTGTCGTCAATCTCACAGTTTCAATTCTCGTATCTTCAACCGAAGTGGGATTTCACATCCATAAATAATCTTTATCCTTCTACACTCAGCACTAATATATATATATATATGTATGTATTATGTGTATTATGTGTGTTGCCATTTTCTTCCTTTCATCCTTCTTGTCTCCACCTTCTTGCTATTTTATTTATGATCTTTTTTTTCAATCCTAACCCTATTTTACTTTTCGTGTCATGAATAAAACATATATTTTCATGAAATTGATTGTTTCGAAACAAATTTATAAATAAATAGAAATTATAATGGAACATTATTTTTAAAAGGAGTATAGAAAAATGTAGCAAAAACGTCATTTTTGTGCTTGATAAAATGCCCATAATCGCATCTTGCATGGCTACATATGATCTGTTGACAGTTATCCATGTCCTCGATTGCCGCAATTCTTCTTTCCATTTCCATTTCCATTGCCCTCGTCCTTCTCCACGATTCTCTACAATTCTGTTATTATATATGTACCCATTTATATTCCACTTCCTTGTATCCACCTCCCTCGCCGATCTCACTCATTTATCTTCATAACAATGGCGAATAACCCTCTTAGAGTCCTCGTCACCGGTGCTGCTGGTATTATTACATTCTTTCAGTTTTTCATTTCTTTCAATTTAATGCAATACTTGGATATGCCTGGGTTGCGTGATAATGTAGCAAAGTCTTGATGCATCTCTCTGCTTCGCATCGCTGAATAGAATAATGTCTGTTTTTTCGCTGTCGATTTCGTTGGTTTGTTAAAAGAACGGAAGATTCGAATTCTTGTATTGGGAATCTGGACACCATCATGATTCTGCCTTGCATTGTTGACTAGTTTTAGTATGGCGTGGGTGGGTTGTGACCGCCGATTCCTTGCTTCTCTGCGAGTGATGCTCTCCTTCAAATTCTGGAGGGATAGTTGAGATTTGTGTTGATTGTTAGCAGAATTGTTTTTGGATCCTTTCGATTGATAGAAAAATGGAACAATTCGAACTGTTTCAGAAATTTGTTCTTGTTTCGTTTACCATCGCGTTTTTCTGGAAGCTCATAAGGCATATGTTGAGTTTTGTGAACATGGAGAAGGAACCAGTGAGAGTTCTAATCACTGGGGCCGCAGGCATGTTTAGCTCTTCTTCGGCTTTGCGTTATCTTCTGTTGTGTACAGCTATTATGGTTGATATTTCTTAGGGACTGTTCGTTATAGTTGCAGTTTGAAGTTTGATTCTTATAACTATCATTTTTATGAGTATTTTTGAATTTGCATACATATTTTCAAATATTCGAATTCGCTGATTGCTGCATTCATTTTGAAATCCTTACGCTGCACAGATTGATGTTGATCATGCCGGTTTTTTCTCTAGTTGTCTTATTTCTTCATTTCCATTTTCACTTGAATGCATACCCCAAGTATCTCAAGAATTTGAACTATGAAAGGAAATTTAGTATCTTATTCTCAGAAGTTTAGCAAGCAGTTCGCGTATTTGAGGAAAGCCAGTAATTCTATTTTCCCTTCGTCGAACAGGGCAAATTGGTTATGCAATTGTTCCAATGATTGCAAGAGGGGTCATGCTAGGCCCTGATCAGCCAGTAATTTTGCACATGCTTGATATTGAGCCTGCAGCTGAGGCTTTGAACGGTGTAAAAATGGAATTAATAGATGCAGCCTTTCCTCTTCTAAAGGGTATGTTTTTAGTAAAATCTTGTCTATCTTTGGGCAATAATCTTTTGTGGGTTTTTAACTTTGTGTACTATGCCCAAGCAGGTGTTGTTGCTACAACGGACGCTGTTGAAGCTTGTAAGGAGGTCAATATTGCAGTTATGGTTGGTGGTTTTCCTCGAAAGGAGGGCATGGAAAGGAAGGATGTGATGTCGAAAAATGTCTCCATTTACAAAGCACAGGCTTCAGCCTTGGAGAAGCATGCTGCTCCAGATTGCAAGGTGAGGAGCCTCCAAAATACAAGTTATATGTATTTTCTGAAAATATACAAATCCGGTATATCATCATATTTGGATATTTTTCCACCTTCATCACCCCTCCACCCCCAAGCTACAATTTAGTTCCTAGCGTTTGCCTACCTCATCTACGCCTCTTCCTCTTTTAACAATGCTCCCTCCCCCATTGCTCGACAACTTTGCTAACAAACGAGCTCTTATTGGCAATACTATAACATTGCTTTAGAGCTATAGTAGATTTCATTTCACTCCATTTTATTGAAGGAATTGCGTTAATTATACAGGTATTAGTGGTGGCCAACCCAGCCAACACAAATGCTCTCATCTTGAAGGAGTTTGCACCTTCTATCCCCGAGAAGAACATCACATGTCTTACACGATTGGATCATAACCGAGCATTAGGCCAAATCTCTGAGAGGCTAAAGGTGCAAGTTAGTGATGTGTCGAATGTCATTATCTGGGGCAATCACTCTTCTACACAGTACCCAGATGTCAATCATGCAAAAGTCACCACTAGCAGTGGAGAGAAACCAGTTCGAGAATTGGTTGCAGATGATCAATGGTAACATTACAACTTTGACCACATCTACATATCTTATAGAAGATGCTTGCTCTTCTTTCCTTTGAAAGAAGATTTACTTAAGTAGTTCGTCCAAAGCAGGGAGAAAAGCTTAAAAAAAGTGAGATGTTTTCTGCTCTTAACTTTCAATGGCTGATTAATTTTGAAGGTTGAATACCGAGTTTATTAGCACCGTACAGCAGCGTGGTGCTGCCATTATAAAGGCTCGAAAACTTTCTAGTGCACTGTCTGCTGCCAGTGCTGCTTGTGATCATATAAACAACTGGGTTCTGGGGACCCCCAAGGTTCGTCCTTAAAATAGCATTTGATCATGGATGTTTTTTTTTTTTTTTTTTTAAATTAACCTTTTGGCTGACATTTATCTGCTTCGTTGCATCCTTCGTTTAGGGAACTTGGGTTTCCATGGGAGTGTACTCCGATGGTTCCTACGGTATAGAACGTGGTCTTATCTACTCCTTTCCAGTCACATGTGAGAAGGGAGAATGGTCAATCGTCCAGGGTAAGCTTCTTTCTTTCTGGGCAAGGGTCGAGGAAATTAATGACTGGATATTTATTCGTTCATTTAACATGGAACATGAAGGATAAAAGTTAGATGGAACTGTGTATTATGATTAAAGGGTTTCTATTACAACTGCAGGGCTGAAGATTAATGAATTTTCAAGAGCGAAGATGGATGCAACAGCAAAAGAGCTGATTGAGGAGAAGGCTCTGGCTTATTCATGCCTTGGTTGATGTGGTGTTTGTTTATGCTATTTGAGGCGTGGTTTAGCTTCTTCAAGAAGTCGTTTAGTTATATATTCATTTGGCTTCCTTTCTTCAATAAGTTCTGGAAATCGTACAGAAAATTATGGGCAGTGTTCATTATTTGATGCGATCTGAAGTTTGGGTGTGTTGTTGTTATAGGAGGATCCCAGGACTGCAAACGCTCACCCTACCTAATCTACTCCACTACAGAGTACTTTGCTTCCTCAATTGTATTCACTTTGATTGAATTTACTTTCTTAATCTCATTGCCGACATCATACCCCTACCTTTTGGTTGACCTTTAAGTACATAATTTAAACTTACGAGTACATAATTAAATAAATCAAATTTATGATAATATCAAATATAATTTTTTTAAAAAATACAAACAAGTTAATTATTTAACAGAAAAGGGAAGCATAAAGACCCTTTCAGCTTCCGCTCGCTCTCACGTCCTCAATATTTTCTTCTCTCGCCCTCTCCTCCTCTCTTTCAGCAGCTCAGTTTCGCCGCCGCATCTTTCCGGTTCAGTGCTGCCGGGTTTGCCCTAATTTCCTTTTTCTCACTGCTGAATTTTCAATCTCTATCCATGTCTTCTCTCCCACTTGAATAACTCAAATTAGGACTTGTCTAAATTAAGAATGGAGGCGTTGTTTTGATTTTTTTCGTTTGTTTTAATGCAACTGCACGATAGAATTGACACTTCTCGAACTGCGTTTTGATATCTCTTCGGTATATACCGAAAACTCCTCGTTCACGCGACCGTCAATTTTCCAGCATTTCCTTTACTTATCTATTCTCATTTTAAGTAATCTACGGATTGCTCAATTCTCTTTTGATCCCTAGCTTATAGGAGTGATTTTGATTCAACCTTAATCATATTTATGTTTGTGGGATATAGTTAGAAGAAAACAACGATTATTTTTTGAAACATAAAAATGTTACGAATACCATCTCCAATGATACTTCGAATTTATTGGAAATAGGAGCCGTCTATATGGCTTGTACTTCATGTACTTGATTTGTAGATAGTCTATTAAGTAGAGGAATTAAAGGGACCTAAAAAATCATCCCTCATAGCCACTTTTATAGATAGTGTGGATATAGATTATAAATTTAGAGGAAAAACGATTTTCTCAATATAGCTATGGATACATTTTCTAAATATAGAAATTCTGCTGGAGAACGATGAAGAAGTGTGTCGGTAATTGGAAGCCCTCTTTTGATCACTAGAAGTCGATAATTCTTGTTTGTCTGTGTGAACATGACACGCTCTCTCCCTCTCAGTGACAACTTTCATTTCTTCATATTTGTTTTGGGAGTCTGAAAGATTCTCTCTGTATATTACATGTTTGGACGTTATTGACGATGTCTCAGAGTGAATTTTAGGTCGGAAAAAATGAATGAGACGATGAGACAATTTCAACAGAGCTTAATTGAGCTAGAAGCTGAAGCAGAGCGTCTCCTTGTAGCCCGCAACGAAGTAAGCTTAAAAATATTTGAAGTTTGGCAACTTGGCTTACAAGGTTACTTGTATTTCCTCCTCGCAATATACGCTCTTTGCCACTTAAATTGAAATTGCAGTGTCAAAATCTGTGTATCATTGAAATGAAACTGCTCTCTAACTTTGAGAGTTAAAAAAGGTAAAGTGACCACTGTTGTTTGGCGTTAAAATTTCAGTTGGTTGAAAACGATAGAGTGAGAAATGGGAATAGAGAAGCATTGACTGCTTTGAGGAGGCGAGCAAGGACAACAAAGTCTAGTGTTCCATCGCCTTTTGAGTCAATAATGAAGGAGGTGGGGGGTTCTGAATCGAGGCTATTAGTGAAGGAGATTTGCACTACCTGCGGGAATCACGATTCTAATGAGCGCACATGGATGATGTTCCCAGGAACTGATGTGTTCGCCAGGGTACCATTTCATGCTGCTCATACAATCTTGGAGACAGGTTATTGATGGGATTTTTTTTTCACGCTATTAATTTTATGTCATTTATTAGTGCACGACTCTTTAAGAGATAATATATTAGACTTCATTGAAACATATGCATTTCCGTGTTCATTTGTCTCCCTTTTAAAGAACTGAATAATCTCATGGAAGTTGCCTGTCCTTGTAATCTGTAGTGGCCAAAAGGCTTCTCTTAAGTTAGATGGGGACAGGGCAACAGGGTGGTACATTCCGTTTGTGGTTTTTGGTTTCTGCATGGAATTCCCTTGGGTTGGAAATCAAGATGGATTCCCCCCCCCCCCAAATATATAAATATTGAAGTGAATGTCTTTTTCATCAGGGTCAATCCTTGGATGAAAAAGTATTTTCATTTTTCAATTTGATGATTTGTTTTTATGAACAGTTATGAGAAGCGTTATGCATCACATTTTGAACTAACAAAGCTCCTCCCCATTTTTAAGTGCCATATGGTTGGACCATTAAGAAAGTTGAAGTACCCGCCC